CCTCTCCTCTCCTCTTCTCTTCTCTTTCTTCTTTTCTTTTTTAATGGGCACCATTATGTTTCCTTTCCATAGGGGTAAAAAAATCTCAAGTTAATACATAGAAACTCTTACCCTATAAACCACTTCCTCTTCTTATTTCCTCTTTAATGCCACTCCAAGTCTTGACTCAAGTTTTTCTTTCCTTCCTTTTTTCTTTTTCTTTTTTCAATGCTTCTTGTTCTTAGTCATTCAATGTTCTACCCAGTTCATTTTATTTGCTATCTAGAATTCTTTCTTTATCCTCAGCTAAGTGCTACTTTACTCATTAAACTCCAAGAATATCCATCTCTTGAATGGCATACTTGAATTCTGCTCAACTGGTCCTCAGAACAGAGGACTAAGTTGCATTTCTGTTTTACAAAGCAATTACAGTAGCAGTGAATTAACTGAATGAAGCAGGAGGACAGGGTCTCCAGGTGATGATAGTCATAAGATATTTTCTGCATTTCATATTAAAATCAATTTGTTTTTGTACGGAAAGAAACATTGTATCCAAAACTACGCTTTTTTTTTTTTTAAACTGACCCTAACTGAAATAAGAGTGTATATTTATTCTTGGAAAGGTTAAAAATCACATGAAGGATTTCCGCTTCTGAAATGATGTTGGTCTAAATATCTCTGAGAGGATCTTCCTTTACAGAATACTTACTAATATACATTGGAGCCATTGCTGGTTTTGCAAATGATAAAGGAATTCTCTAAGGATAACATACAACACACAACAACATAAATACAAAAAAAGAAACTTCAGAGCTGAGGCTGGATCTTTTTGTATATGCTTGAAAATGTCTATAATAAATTTTATAGATATCAAGATAGTTGGGGAGAAGTTAAAGGGTTGGGATGAGGAAGAGCATATATACAGATTTAATGATATTGTTCATGTTCTGGATCTTAGATCAGATGATGAGAATAATTTTTATAACTTACATATTTATCACATATCTTATATACTAGTATTATGTATTTTTATTTTATTTTTTGAGAAAGAGTCTCACTCTGTTTTCCAGGCTGGGGTGCAGTGGTGTGATCACAGCTCCCTGCAGCCTCGACCTCCTAGGCTCAAGCGATCATCCCACCTCAGCCTAACAAGTAGCTGTGATTTCAGGTATGCACCACAATGCCCGGCTAATTTTTTTCCTATATTTTGTAGAGCTGGAGTATTTGCCATGTTGTACAGGCTGGTCTTGAACTTCTGGGCTTAAGGGGTCCACCTTTCTCAGCCTCCCAAAGTACCGGGATTACAGCAAGCCACTATGCCTGGTCGTATAACTTATTCTTAAATAAAATTTAAAAAAAAGTTTAAATGTACTTTTAGACTTTTTATTTTAAAATTTTACATACAGAGAAAAGTTGAAAGAATAGTATGAAGAATATTCATGTACCTTCCACTAACTTCAAAAATTGACATGTTGGCAAATGTTTAAATATTTCTGTCTATATACATACATAAAATAATTTTCATACTGAAATATTTGAAAGTCTTTGCAGACATATGAAACTTCACTCCTAAATATGCCACTATAAAACTTCTAAGATTAAGAATATTTTACTTAATCACAATGTTATTATTATGCTCAAGAAACTTAATAATTTCATATTATTTTATATCCAGTCTATAGTCAAATTCTCCCTCTTGTCTCCAAATTCCTTTTACAGATGTATATTTGAATGTATGGAATTTGACTATTAAGCTTCATCATCTTTTTTTCTCTTTTAATCTAGAACAGTCCTCCACTGGCTGGGCGTGGTGGCTTATGCCTTTAATCCTGGTGGTTTGGGAGGCCGAGGCAGGAGACTGATTTGTGCCCAGAAGTTTTGAGGCTGCAGTGAGCTGTGATCACACCACTGTACTCCAACCTGGGAAACAGAATGAGACTCTGCCTCTAGAAAAAGGAAAAAGGAAGGAAAAAAAGAAAAATTATCTACCAAAATATTTTTTCAAGACATTGACTATTAGAAGAGGTTGAGCCAGTTTTCTGATACAGTATGTCCCATCTCCTGTTTCCCATGATGTTGTTCAACCTGTTTTTCTATCGTCTCTGTTTCATATATTTAGGTCTAGACTTGATTAAATTCAGGTTTAACCTATTTGTCAAGAATGTTTAATTTCATTCTCAAGATAAGTAATCTTATGACTTCATATGTTATCAGGTGACACATGTCAGGTCGTCCTATTACTGGTGATACTAAGTTTAGATGGCAACTGCCAGATCACCATGTTTTAAAGGTACGTTTTAGTCTTTGGAATTGATAATCTTAGAGGTGCTCCTAGGGCACTGCAGGAATATCCTGTTCTCCCAACAGTGTTCCACGCTACGGTTTCAGCAACCATTTACTAGGTATTGCAAAACCATGATTTTCTAATCCTGTCATACCAAACATAAATTTTTTCAGTACCTTTTTTATTTTTAAAGTATTACAGTAGAGTGCTAGAGCTTTAGCTTATGTACATGAGTTAAATTTAGCATGGTTTTTATTAGTGTTATATAGTTAAGTTGACATAGAAACATTATTATTATTATTATTATTATTATTTTAGACAGTCTCACTCTATCACCCAGACTGGAATGCAGTGGCGCGATCTCAGCTCACCACAACTTCCACCTCCCAGACTCAAGCATTTCTTTTGCCTCAGCCTCCCAAGTAGCTGGGATTACAGGCATGCATCATCACACCCGGCTAATTTTTGTATTTTTAGTAGAGATGGAGTTTCACCATGTTGGCCAGGCTGATCTTGAACTCCTGACCTTGTGATCCACCTGCCTTGACCTTCCAAAGTGCTGGAATTTTAGGCGTGAGCCACCATGCCTGGCCAGAAACATTATTTTTAAAATATAGCACTATGGACTGAATTGTTTCCTTCTCAAATTCATATGTTGAAGCCCTAACCTCCAATTCGATGGAATTTGGAGATGGGGTCTTTGGGAGATAATCAGGTTTAGGTGAGGTCATGATGGTGGGACCCTCATAATGAGATTAGCGCACTTAAAAGAAGAGGCACCAGAGAGCTCGCTCTCTCTCCCTGTGCCCCCCCAACCCCCGAATATGAAGCTATGGCTCAAAGGTGGCCATTTGAAAGGCAGGGAAGAGGGCCTTCACTAGAACCTGGCCATGCTGACAACCTCACCTTTAGCTTCCACAACTGTCAGAAAGTAAGTTTCTGTAGTTGAAAGCCACCCAGTCTATGGAATTTTGTTATGGCAGCCCAAGCTGACTAACCCATAGTGTTTTCTAGGTATTATAGAACCCACTGAACCACCTTCATTCCTAACACACTTTTCACAAATTGCCAGACATTTTCTTAGAATAAATGACCCTCCACTATGAATTATAAAAGCTGAGAAACATCATGCAGCATATTTGTTGCTGATTCTATGTAGTCATTGCAGTGTAGACAAATGTGATACTAAGCAAATGTTTTCATGGTTGCCTTCCCCAAGGAGCCCTGTGTAACTAACTTTTCACTATTATTAATAATGCACATCATTAAATCTAGGTCTTTCTCCAAGCTTTTAATTCCTTAGGATAAACTCTTAAAGACTGAAAAACTTGATTATAGTTATAAGCCTTTTAAAGGCTTATGATTTGAATCACTATTCACTTTCCATAAGTATTGTAGTAAGTTCCACTTATACCAGCTGTTTGCAAGTGTTCTTTTAAATACCACAATCCTCAATGCTAATCATTAGAATTTAAAATATTTTAAAAATATAATAGGAAACATTTAATTTGTATTTCTTTGATAACATTTTTAAATTTTCACTTGACATTTGTATTTTTCTATAACTTGTTTTTGTCATACCATTGTCAATTTTTCTATGGCAGTTTCAACATTTTCTTAATGATGAATGTTGAATGACTATCAACCAGGTTATATTTGATTGAAAATTACTTTTAACACTTTGACTTTTGAAGAAAGCTGTTTTATCAGATACCATGGTCCTAGCAGTGTTAGAGGGTCACTAGGAAATGTGGAAAGAAAGTGTTTCTTTGTATCTTGTTCCAAAAAGTTTATTTAACACATACACATGAGAATCAGGTAGGCTAGGTGTGTTTTAAGTCAATACCATTTCTAAGAGGATATCTGATTTTAATAAGTATTTTAGTAATGAATCTGAATGCATTTACAAAGTGCCCAAAGCATAGCAATATTCAGAGAGCAAGTTTTAAAACAATTCTTCCTTTGCTATTCAGCTTCTTCATCAAGGTTTACTTATGGTATTTTTATATGGTCATGCTATCAATTACCAGAGATATAAATACATGCTCATACTATAGAAATTTTAAAAGGAAAACTTATTTGTGCCTATTCTGAATTAGAATTTATGAAATTGAAATATTCTCTAAGTAAGTTTCTTGCTTTTTGCAAGCTTTGCTAACTTGAAACCTCCCTTCTCCTTATATACTTCCTCAAATGTGAGATCAGAAAATCAGTAATGCTCAGCCTTGGTTACCAACTGTGCTAGATGATATAGCTGCACACCATAGCCAAATGGCAGCTTCTTTTAATTTTCTGTAGTGAATCTTCTGATCATTCAGGCAAGGTAAAGCTTCACTTTGAGGAGCAAACATAGCTCTAAGGGCTGACACATCTGAATCACAGTTTTTGCTACTAATAACATAGCCTGATACATTATCTTTACATGACTTGGAGAAATATATATATATATACGTAGAGATGGGGGCCTATGTTGCCCAGGCTGGTCTCAAACTCCTGGACTCAAGTGATCCTCCTGTCTCAGGCTCCCAAAAGTCTGGAATTATAGGCATAAGCCACTATGCCTGGCCAATTTTGGCACTTATTAATGATCAAGTCTTAGGTCTCTTTTTTCATTTTGGAATTGAAATGTGATGATGCTCTAATTCTTTCATTCTTTCTGTATTTATTAGCAGAAACTCTTCTATAAAGAAGAGCTCTTTATCAGTCATTTGTTTACCAGAAAAACAAAACATGTACAAGAAAGACAGAATAAATATTTTATGTGTCCCTTTATCTATTTTTCACGATAATAAGTTATATCCTAGCCACTTCTAATGATAGCCCATGGGATGATTTTCTTCTAGCATTATTATTGAAGATTTTATTTTTATATACCTGTTGTGTTTTTAGTAGTTAGAGTCATTCTTTTTGATACTCAAATGATCCAATCTTTGGCCAATGAGAGACCATTCAAATTGGCTTCTGTTTCCTTCTGGAATCCCATTAGTCTTTGGCAGATTCCTTGCTTCTTGATACAAGGAAAGATGTTCATTTTGTACATTTCTTTACTCAGCTCTAGAATTGGTCATTTCTCCAAGATGCCCTTGTTCATTTTAGTGGGTACTGGGTGCTCATTTCTACTGGGTTTGCCATTGTTCCTGGGTCTTTTCAGTGGACAGAATTAGGAATATGTGCTTTTTTTTTTTCCAAGAAAAAATACATCATGAATTTTATTATACAGTTGTCTTGATAAATTTCCATCTGTCCTTTTGAAAAAGGCTAATATAAAGAGTGTGTACTTTTGATGTTGTATTAATTAGAATTAACTTTTGCTTCACAGAAGAGATATACTTGTAATATTCACCAAGTAAGATCAAAGCTTTTATCGCTCATACAAATGCAATGTGATGATGCTCGTGTGGCAGCTCTGTGTTGTCGTCAGTGACCCAGGCTCCCATCTTTCCTGCCATCTTTAGTATCTCAGCTTCAATTAGCATGGGCCAGCATTCAATCTATGCATTCATCAACCAATTAAACCAAAGAGTGGAAGACTCCAAGCTGCCTGTTTTCACAATGAATCCAGAATAACCGGTAAGCACACCCATATCCACAAATTAAGCTTGACTAAGTTTGAGTTCCTTTTTCCTTGGCGTCACATACTCAGAATCTGTTTACATGTATATTCTCCAGATTTTTGCCAACCATATTGGTGTGTACACTGTTATCTTCCCAGGTATAACTTTTAAATTGTTTCTCTGAAGAATTGTGGGATCTGACTCTAGGCATACATCTAGAGATAATGTGACGATAATGTGAGGGCATGAGGAAGAATTAAATTTCTCCTTCATGTAACTACTTTATACAGGGATGTTATAAGGTTTTACAGCAAGGCAGGAACCATGTCATCAGACAGGAGAGGTTGGGGTGCTTCAACTGACAGCAGGGAGGTTTAATGGAGGCTTTCAAGTTTGGAACTGTCTGAGACCTCTGAAGTCTCCCCTATCTCTTCTTTCTCATTCTGGAAGTTCTGCTCTTTCCCACTAAATACCCTTCCTTTCACATAGGAGACCTGATACACACAACAAAGTGTAATTTTGAGCTTGTTGTTCATTGTTAAATATATCTATGATTGTTAAAATGAACCATCTGATTAACCCAGTCTTTGATTTCCTCATGCCCTTCATACTGTTCTACGGCAGTCCCCAAAGCTTTCTTTTTCTTTTTAAATTTTCTTTTATTTTTTTCCCATAATCCCAAAGCTTTTAATGGACTCTTTTAATTAGCTATTTTTGCCATCTGCCATGGACTTCTAAGAGTCCCATGTCTTAAAATTGGATGTACTTATTGGATGTACTTCCATTATATTCAGCCACAGCCAGGCAAGAATCCTGGATTCTCTCCGGCCTTCTTTTTCCTGAGGGATTGTTGATGCAATCTCCACAAAATAATTTCAGAATTAGTCAGGATTCTTAGCTGCAACTAGCAGAAATGGCTTTTAGCTGATACAAGCAGAAAAGAAGTATACTGAAAGGATATTGAAAAGAACCATATAAGGGGCTAGAGAGGTAAGCTCAGAAAATGGGCATGAAAAGAAGAAACTCAGCAAGGAAAATGGCTAAAATCCTACTGCAAAACTGATTTGGGCAGGACATTTCTACCACTTTCACCACACCCTGAGCACAACAACTGACAGCTGTAATACCACCAGCACTGCCAGCAGGTTTGCAGTTGCTGCTGCTGCTGGCACTGCTACCACCATGCCCTTGAATGCCGAATGCTACTGCAGTACTGAATACTGATACCACTGTGGTCCTTTGCCCTGCCCTCCTGCTGATAAATCCAAACCTTTCCTGTATCTATTTTTTTTTTTAAAGACAAAGTCTCACTCTGTCACTCAGGCTGAAGTGCAATGGTACCATTTCAGCCCACTGCAACCTCCACATCCTGGGTTCAAGTGATTCTCCAGCCTCAGCCTCCCAAGTTGCTGGGATTGCAGGCACACCTCACCATGCCCAGCTAATTTTTGTATTGTTAGTAGAGACAGGGTTTCTCCCTGTTGGCCAGGCTGGTCTCAAGCTCCTGATCTCAGGTGATCCACCTGCCTCCGTCTCCCAAAGTGCTAAGATTACAGGCATGAGCCACCGTGGCCGGGCCTAAGAGGCTAATTCTAATGACTGGCTAAGCCTTGATTATGTGCTGATGCCCTAACTAACACAATTCCTGGAAAGCAGGTGTTTGTCTTCTACTTCTTTAGGGGGAGATACGCTCTGCCATCTGTAAAGACTCAAAAGGTAGAGAAGTGCCCCAAACATTAAAAGGGGGTTTCAGACAAATATCTACTATGAGTTGGGAAATGCTATGTATGTTCTGAGGTTGGAAATTATGAAGAAAGAGTGGAAAAAACAAGAGGAGCCCTGGCAATCAAATAAAGGCAGTTAGACTTTATTTGATAGACAGAAAAAGTCACAAGAAATTTCAAAGGAAATTTGTACACATAAATAAAAGAGGGACTTAGGAATATTAATCTGCAACAGTTAGTGTAGAAGCACATTTGGATAAAGGAGATTTTAGAGGCAGAAAAACCAAAGAACATTTCAGAGAACTCTAAATAGAACACAACACATGCCTGAACTTAGATATTGTCTGCATCAATGAAGGTGAAAAAAGAGAAGACAGTATTTTGAAGATTAAATTCTAGAGCTCCCTAATAGAACCCACATCTCATCAAAGTATTATCATATTCAATTTTCTCGATAATAAAAGTACTAAGGGCTCATTCAGAAATGTTCTATTCCCAAGTGAACTCAGTAGCTGCTTGGGGCAGCAGTTCTCAGAGTATGGACAGCTGGGATTTCCGAGACCCTTGTAGAGGTTCTGCAAGGTTAAAAGTATCTTCATGGTAATACCAAAGTGTTATTTGCCTTTTTCCATTGTCTTGAAATTTATACTGATGAAACTAAAGCAATGGTTTCTAAAACTGCTCCTTAGCATGACTCAAGGCAGTGGTACTAAACTGTAGTAGGCATCCTTCATTGTATTCTTCACCCACATACTTGTAGCACACACACACACACACACACAAAGAGAAAGAAAAAATGGGCTGGGCAAGTTGGCTCATGCCTGTAATCCCAGCACTTTGGGAAGCTGATGTGGGCGATCACAAGGTCAGGAGATCAAGATCATCCCATCCTGGCCAACATGGTGAAACTCCGTCTCTACTAAAAATACAAAAATTAACTGGATGTGGTGGTGCACACCTGTAGTCCCAGTTATTTGGGAGGCTGAGGCAGGAGAATTGCTTGAACCTGGGAGGTGGAGGTTGCATTGAGCCGAGACCATGCTTCTGCACTCCATTCTGGCGACAGAGTTGAGACTCTTGTCTCAAAAAACAGCAAAAATAATTAAGTCAGTTTCACTTAAGAATATCATTGATGATACAATAAAGTGCGTTAATTTTTATTAAATCTTGATTCATGAATACATAGCTTTTTAATAATCTATTTGATAAAATAGGAAATGTGTATGTGTAGAAAAACCATGCCATCAGACAGGAGAGGTAGGGGTGCTTCAACTGATAGCAAGGAGGTTTAGTGGAGACTTCTGGGTTTGGAGCTCTCTGAGACTTCTGAATTCTCCCATATGTCTTCCTTCTAATTCTTGAAGTTCTGCTCTTTCCCACCAAATGCCCTACCTTTCACACAGGAGACCTGACAGATGCAACAAAGTGTAATTTTGATCTTGTCATTTTTTGTTTAAGTCATCCAAGATTGTTAAAATTAACAATCTGATTAACCCATAGCCTTTAATTTCCTAATATCCTTCATACTGTTCTATGGCAGTCCCCCAAAGCTTTTAATGGACTCTTTTAATTAGCTATTTTCACATCTGCCATGGACTTCTAAGAGTCCCATATCTGAATATTGGACATATTTTCATTATGTTCAGCTATAGCCAGGCAAGAATCCTGGATTCTCAAGGACACACACACACACACACACACACACACACACACACACACATTGAGATAGGGTCTCGCTGTGTCACCCAGGCTGGAGTACAGTGGTACAGTCATGGCTCACTGCAACCTTGACTTCCCAGGCTCCAGTGATCCTCCCACCTTAGCCTCCTGAGTAGGTGGGAACACAGGTGTGCGCCATCACGCCTAGCTAATTTTTGTCTTTTTGGTAGAGATAGGGTTTCACCATGTTTCCCAGGCTGACCTGAGCTCCTGAGCTCAAGCAATTCACCCACCTTGGCCTCCCAAAGTGTTTGTTTTATAGGACTGAGCCACCACACCCAGCTGGGAAGTATATATAAACACTTCTACTGCATATCAAAAAATATATAGATATTTTGAGGAAAACACTTGTGTCTTATTTGAACTGCAAACTGAATTAGCCTTCCCTCTACATTGAAACATGACTTTTTTTTTCTGAAAGAATGATTGACAGGCAAGAAATTTAAACAACTTGCTCCTGAATGACTTTTGGGTAAATGAAATTAAGGCAGAAATCAAAAAATTATTTCACATAAATAAAAACAGACATAACAAACAAAATCTCTGGGATGCAGCAAAAGCAAAGAGGAAAGTTTATAGAGCAGAATGCCTACCTCAAAAGTTAGATTTCAAATTAATGGTATAACATCACACCTAGAAGAACTAGAAAAACAAGAACAAACTAACCCCAAATCTAGCAGAAGAAAAGAAATAACTAAAATCAGAACAGAACTGAACAGAATTGAGACCCAAAAATCCATAGAAAGGATGAACAAAATTAAAATTGGTTCTTTCAAAGGATAGACAAGATCAATAGGTGATAGCTAGATTAAAGGAAAAAAGAGAGAAGATCCGAACAAGCACAATCCGAAACGACAAAGGTGACGTTAAAACGAATTCTGTAGAAATACAAAATATCCCCAGAGACTATTACGAACACCTCTATGCACACAAACTAGAAGATCCGAAGGAAATGGATAAGTTCCTGGAAGCACACAACCTCCCAACATTGAATCAAGAAGAAATTGAAACCCCAAACAGACCAATGTCATGTTCCAAAATTGAATCAGTAGTAAAAACCCTACCAACCAAAAGAAAAAAAATGCCCTGGACCAGAGGGATTCACAGCCAAGTTTTACTAGATGTTCAAAGAAAAGCTGGCACCAATCCTACTGAAATTATTTCAAAAAATTGAGGAGAAGGGACTCCTCTTAACTCATTCTACAAAACCAGCATCACTCTGACACCAACACCTGGCAACAACATAGTGAAAAGAAAAGTACAGGCCAATATCCCTGATGAACATAGACATAGAATCCCCCTGCAGAATCCTAGCAAACTGAATTAAACAGCACATCAAAAAGACTAATGCATCATGTTAAGGCAGGCTTCATTCCTAGGATGCAGGATTGGTTCAACATATGCAAACCAATAAATTCACTACACAAACAAAATTAAAAAAAAAAAGCATATGATCATATCAATAGACACAGGAAAAGCCTTCAATAAAATCCAATATCCCTCATGACAAAGACCCTCAACAAACGAGGCATGAAGGAGCACACCTTCAAATAAGAGCTATCTATGACAAAGCCATAGCCAATGACATACTGAATGGGCAAAAGCTAGAACCATTCTCCTTGATAACTGGAAAAAGACAAGGATGCCCATTCTCGCCACTCTTATTCAACACAGTAACTACAAGTCCTAGCCAGAGTAATTAGACAAAAGTAAGAAATAAAAGGCAACCAAATAGGAAAAGAAGTCAAACTATCCCTCTTTGCTGACAATATGATACTATACCTAGAAAACTCTAAAGTCTCTGCCAAAAGGCTCCTGGAACTGATCAACAACTTTAATAAAGTTTCAGGATACAAAATCAATGTACAACAATCAGTAGCAAACAGTTCAGAAATGGCCTCTTCTTTCTCTTTAAAAATCTACTTGTAACTGCTGCAAATTAGAGTAATATTCAAGGCAACTGGAATCCATGAATCTGGATTGCAATCCTCAAGCTTGGTTGAAATAAATTCTTCACTTATATTAATTTTGCCTCAGCTTCTCCTTTTAGGTCAGCAAGATCAACTACAGAGACCAGATGATATTGTTGAGCATAAAGAAAATGCTTCAGTTTTACGGGTTACAGAGTCGCAATTTTGCCCTATGTGCAGAACTTAGAGTTAGAACTAACTTTGGATCCAGTCAGCCACGAACAAAGTAAAAAAAAAAAAAAGTCCTAGACTTATATGTTGGCTTGGGAGGAATTTCTAAAAGTGTGACATGCTTATTTGTCTTGCACTGTGGACTTCTGTTTGCTTTTTGTACAAGTTTTAACAAATGATGAGGATATTTACTATTAATGAAAAACAAAATTATTTAATTACTGAATATTACTGAATGGCAAAAAGGAAAAAAAAAATCAACCAATACAAATTGTGGAAACATCATATACTGATAACATAGAAAATGGGGCCACTGAAAAGTGAATTATAGGAAAGCACATTTTGCAGTTTTGTTGAGTTTTATTGTCTTTTTTTTTTTTTTT